CACAAACATCAAATTATCAGTCAAAAGACAACTGAAAACAAACAAAGTAATTAATCTTACCTGTGCTGAAGTGCCGAAATATTTCACATTACCCCAAGTACAAATAGAAACTGAGTTTGCACTAAAATTTGTATTAGGAAAATATTGACGTATATCATTTGTAGCTCGCTGTAGTACTCGGACACCCTTGAATTCTTGAACGTAAACGTCACTGTTATCAATATCTGTCCATAGTGGAGCAACAATGTCTATATTTGCTGGAAGAGTTGGGGGACTTGAAGGAAACAGTGGCCAGTTGAAAGTAAGAAATCCATTTTGGTAAACCTAAAAGGAGTTTGAAGAAACAGATATTACATGTTGACAAATACTTTTAATGGCTAATATAAGTAATAAATTGATTTTAAAAAATGCAGTTGCATTAATGAGTGTCCTCACATAAACAGAACTGTATGTGAGCCCGAAGTAAGAAAATGGTGTCTGCAAAGGAAACTTCAATAATCCATAAACCTCTCTTGCCAGGTTTAGTTTGTGCCCATTCCTAAATGGATAGAACAGTCCTGCAAGCATACAAGTTTATTTTTCAGCACACTTATACATTTTAATTCATTTGTAACTCTCAACATTTCACTACATATTCAGCACACTTATGATTTGAATTCATTTGTAATTCTCAACATTTCACTACACATGAATGGTCTAATGAATTGTTACATGTTTCAAATGATAAACAACTATTATTAAGATATGCAAAAAAAATACCATGCATGTTTAATTATTAAATTACTGTACCGTTGTTGTCTGATGCATAGTCAACTCGAAATACCCATCGACCCGTGACGTTGACATTGCTTGTGTATGAAAGGTATGTAACGTCAGAGACAGGAATGGAAAAGAAATCAGTTGAATCACTTGTGTCATAGCCGGACTGTCAATCAAAATACAAGACAACGAAAAGTTTAGTTACAATCAAACACTTATCATATAGTGGTAAAAAAAAGATATTTTGATTTCAGTGTATTTTTCAAATCACTTACGCTAACAAAATATGTTGGGCCGATATGACCATAATGCATAAGTGTAAATGACATGTTTTTGCCAGACACCAAAACCACTTGGAAGGTTGACTTCAGGAAGATAAAGGGAATAACTACATAAATACAGAGAACATGGGATATTGTTTCTTAATCACATTTCTATGCGAGAAGAAGACTTACTTTCTGTCTGTATATATAGTTTGGTACTTTATCCCACGTAGCAATGAAAACCCATGAAGCAGAGAAGTTCAAGTTTGGATAATATTGGTTTACATCTTTTGATGCCCGATTCAAGAGACGAGAATCTGTTACTAGTCGGTAAGAGATGGTTCCTTTTTGTGTAATGTCAATGTTTGTCCATAATGGAGCAATGATGTCTCTAGTCGAGTATGCAGGAAAATAATTGGGATACGACTGGGAAAACAGCCCATTAAAAGTCAAATACCCCTTGTTATTCACCTGTTGACAACAAAACAGTGAAAGCTACTCATGTTGTTTCAATAAAAACTTAGTGTACAGTGTCATAAATGTGACAATGCTCCTTACGTGTAGTTGATTATAAATAACTCCAAAGTAGACAAACGGCTGTGCCAGAGGGATCAGAGGTGAACTTCCAAAATACTCTGCAGGGTTTTTTGTATCCTCATTTCCATATGGGTAGAAAATTCCTATAATTGTAAAGGAACATCATAAATAACTTGCAATATTAAAGGTGCAGCGATTCCTGAGAAACACTGATATTTGAAAGAAGCACACCGGGGTGCGATTCCCATAAAATAACTCGCTGGTTATCTACCATAGCACTATACATTGTTGTAGATACTAAGGGCAAGCTCACACTAAAACACTGTAAGACTACCTAGATTGATGTGGTGCTCGCACTATATAAGGTTTCTTATCATCTTTTGTTGTCATGTCATAGCAGCGTGAATAGTACATAACACACTGACGAGGTCCACAAACTACAAGACATTTGGTTAAGAGGCAGTCCTGACCAACAGCGAAAAACATTTTCTCTCATAAATTCACATGAGAAATTCACGCAAGTGATTACAAGAATTTCCACTTATACCATCTGCACTGTAATTGGCTGGATTAGTTCCACCTTCTCACTGCATTGCACACACTACAAGATCATGTGGCGATGTCTGAAAATATCACAGGGTCTGTGACTGCTCAATACAAGCTCAGATCACACTGATGACCAGCTCATACTTAAAGAGCATTGGCGACCACAATGCTATCCGTAGGTTTTGTTGCAGACCTTGGAAATCTGTCTGCGACAGCAAAATCCAGCCAAAAGTAGTGTAGTGTGAGCTTACCTTAACTAGCTAGTCACGTTTCCTGAACCATGTTAACCATGTTTCCTGAACATGGTTGCATCTCTGTCATCTGAACCACACTGGTTTAACAATATAGGGCTGCCGTTAATGACGTCACATGCATGTTGTAATCAGTTATGCTAATTAATTGTTTCGAGATCTCCGAGATGTTGCTTTTAATGAACATGGCCCCTGATGACTACTTCACTTTTTTTTTTTTTGCTGTTATTTTGTCTTATCTGATGTTTGATACTGGGGTTCCCTTGCGGATTTATGCACATCGTGCACACTCTTCAAAAAAAGAGCTGACTGTTGACATGCTAAAATGCATATGTATTATGTAAATGTATTAATTTGCTGCTTAACCACCATAGTACAATGCATCACTCTAGAAACTAACTAGTCAGTCAGTCACGACTGTTTGCCAAACATGGTCGCTACATTTGTTCAAATATATCCTATTCTTCAACGCGGAAGTAAGCCTATGGGCGAGACTTCTGGTTCTTTAGCCACTATAGGGAAAAAAATGAGATGAATAACAATGTGCAGTAAATGGTAAAACTGTTTGCACTACAAACCAGTGTGTTCATAATTAAGATAATACATTAAAATAATATGGTAAGACACACCAATTTGCAATATCAAGCAGCAAAAGAAGCTGTTTCGTACAGCTAAGAATAGCTGGAAGCGGATGAGACCGAAAGCCAGACCCATAAAATTTACAAATGGCCGCGCCCGTTCTTACAGGAAAAATAAGGTGGATAGGTCTGTCATTAATGGCATCATGTGCAGGTGGTGGAGTAATAACTTCTGCTAATTCATCAGTTTGAGATTGTCGAGATGCTGCTTTAATGAAAATAACAGCTGATGACTACTTCATTATTTATTTTTGTTCTTTGTCATTTTGCTTTATTTGATGTTTGATTCATCGTGGGTTCCCTCTGACATCATATGCATGCATGCACATGCGTACTTTAAAAAATGGTGCTTACTGAGGACACACTAAAATATATAGATTGGGGGACTTGGAGGTTTGGCTGGACATGCCAAGCAGTTCACGTCATGACTAGTACTTTGTTTTTACCATCAAATTGTGTTAACTGTTTATGTAACTGTTGCAATGCTGCAAAACACATAACTTTTCACCAACACAACAATAGCAATGTACAGTGAGAGAATTGCAAGATTTAAACTACTTATACAAATAATTGCAACCGACTAACTGACTAACTTGAACGCAATGGCCAATCATTGGTGTTCAAGAAATCAACAGATATGTCTGTGATTGGCTACATTGCTCATCGTTACAAAAATAGAACATTTTGATGCTCTCCAAAGTGCAAACACAAATAAGCACTGGAGCATTTACCAAATTAGTTTCACCAATATCGTATGACTACAGTTTCAACTAAGGGTGCATTTCACTGTGTGAGAAAATGGACATGATGCGTAAGAGCATGAAAACAGTGTCAATTGCGTGAGTCAACTGCGAGAGTTGGCAGCCCTGTCAGATTTGATCTGGGGGGTATTCCAGAAAGCAGGTTATGTGACATACCTGAGTATGTTTAAGGGTAAGTAATATTAATTATAAAGCACTATTATAACAAGGTTTGTTTTATTCTAATATGTTTTATTATATTTATTTTATTATTTTATTGTCATGTTACACATGGATCTGCATTCAAACATTTTTTCTTTTCTTTTTGCAACAGGATGTTTTTTTATAATGTATTTCTATAATAAAAATACATTATGATATGTCTTATTATAAAATCAGTGTCACGGTTTTGTTGTGTTCATGTCATCTGTGATCCTTGATTTGATTTGTTTCACCTGCCCTTCATCAATTAAGCCCTTACCTGATGTGTATTTATGCTGCGTTCAAGTCCTCCTGGGACGTTCGTACTTACGAGTTGACAAGTCGTAATTACGACATCAGGTGCATTCAAGTCAGTTTCATCGGCACAAGATGGTGGTGTACCTTCTTTAAATAAATTACAAGAAAATACAACAAGGGTCTGTTAACTCTGCTTATAGAAAATGAAGAGCAAAGAATTCGCATCAGGAGTGTTTTGCCGGTAAAAAAACACGGTAAAAATTTACCGTCAACTACAGACGTTGCATCCATTGATTCCGCCATGTTTCTCACTGACACGCACGCCCCCAACTCGGAAACTCAGGGCTTGAAGAAAATTTAGAGCTTCCCACTCGTAATAACGACTTTGTGGTGGCGTTCATGTGCGTTCAACTCGTAAATACGATCTATTCGACATGACTTGAACGCACCATTAGGCCCCGTCCACACGGAGACACGTTTAGCTGTATACGCATAAATTTTGTATCGTATAGGCGTTTCGTCCAGACGGATCCGGCGTTTTGGGAGAGTGAAACCAATATTTTTTAAAACCAGGTCCCAGAGTGGATAAACCTGAAAACGCCACCCTTGCGTTTTCGTGTGGACAGCGAATCCGTATATTTTCTGAAACGATGATGTCATCAGCCCACTTGTCGCCCCTAGTCCGACACCACTACGTCACGTAACAGCAACAAAAACATGAACAAACACTGAACGATTGTCATTGACGAACTAACATTAACACAGATTCATAAATGTATTGTTCCATGTTCGTTTGTAATAGGCAAGGTTTATACATATAGTCCAAGTCTTCTTCTTCGTATTTAGTGTATCTCTGTGGCAGAATTACAGCGCCACATACTGGTCTGGCATGTATACTACATCGTTTTGTGTCAGTTTCGTGGTTTCTTGTGGATACAGATATTTCTTGAGATGAGGGCAAAAAAAAGATCGGATAGGGAAAGCTCTGGCTTCGTGTGAACGTAGCCTTATTCTGCCCTCTTGTCTCTGTCTGATGTATGGTCTCGTCAGTTTGTGCTAGCGTGTTTATGTAGATTTTGCCCTGTTATTTGGATAATTAAAAGATATTTAACTCTTCTTCATCATCTTGTGTGTTAACCTTGAACATACTCTGAGTTGACTGAACTTACAACTCTGAAGTGTTTTAGGAACCAGCATACCTCAAGTAAGCAAGGTTTGGGTTAATCAACCGAGAGCTCAGGATATATGTGACGGTAAGTTAACCTTACTTTCTGGAATACACCCCCGGATGTGGTTCTTGTTTTGAAAAGTCACTGTATGCTATCAAACAGAGTCAAAGGATTACCTTCCTGAGGTCCACCATCAACACGGAATGCCCAGCGTCCCGACACACTGACATTGCTGGAGTTGAAGAGCTTATTTTCATCAAGCACAGGGATGGAAAAGTAATTTGTTGAGTTGACTGTGCCATAGCCAGCCTAAGAAAACACAAATCAATAATAGAGGCTTTGCACCACATAATATTTACAAGTTCTGTAATAGTTCCAAAGTTCAGAAATATGATTCTCATTCTTTCTGACCTGAAACCGATGGTCCGTAGAGGAGATATTTCCATAGTTCATCATGACAAAAGACAGAGAGCCACCAGAGACCAAAACAACTTGATAAGATGAACTCTGTTACAGAAACAAAAAATGATCTTTAATAGACAGAGAATAATTCCGTATTAATGCTTAATTCTGCACTGCTATAATAAAACGCAGATCATCCTCATACTTAATGTGCTTTAATAATCATAAACGGCTTTCCTCTTTCTTTTACCCAAATTACCTGGAGTCACATTAGTGAAATTTCAGCACAATTTTGCTGGCAAAAAAGGACTACCATCTATTGTCAAAAGTGTAGCGATATAAAGCACAGCTCATATATATATATATGAAAAGCTAATTTGCAAAAAACGATAAACGGCACTTTAAAAAAAATTTTTTTTCATTATTCTCCACATATAGCGTTATCTGAACCCTAAACAGGTTTTTTAAAAAAAGTTTTGTCCTCTTTCAAGGCATCGCAAGTTCATGTTTTACTGCAGAAGCTGACAAGCGCCATTGTTGTTTTTGAACAGAAGCCGATAAGTCAATTTTAGTGAATCAGCGCGCTGTATTCAGGTCAGGTGACAAGGCTACTTTCGTTTTTTTTTTTTTACTCTAAAACATGAAATGTGGAGTTATCTGCTTTTGCCAAAAAACGACTGTTGGAGTTATCTGCTTTTGCTATAAAACAAACTTTTAATATTGTTTTTACAAGATTTTGATGGAATGTTTTGGTTTCAATCGATACGACAAGCTTACAGAGATTCTTCTCGACATGCTGAACTTCAAGTTAAAGGGGTCTATATATTGGATCCGACAGTAATGTCGCACCACACAAGTGTGAGTAACTGTTTTTATTATGTGATCACTATTGCTTTGTCTGTTATTAGAGATCGTTTGATATGTAGTGGGTATTCTTGTGTTTTTAACCTAAATCACAGCAGCGTCCATCTGTGAAGGCTGTAGGCTGTCAAACATACACAAATGTTAGCCAATCATAGCAGAGCGTTTACTTCCGAGTCTACAATCCACCACGCCTATTCAAACAGCGTTCTGATGAGGGGGGTCAAAACAGGACAGAAAATAGCCTATTACTTTTAAATTATGATTTTTTTATGTAAAAAAATTATAACTTTATAAGTGGACCTCAGAGAACTGTACAAAATCATTTTTAAAAAGGCAGTTCATGACCCCTTTAAAGAAATCCTAATATGTTGGACCTTTTATTGAAAGTAGTTTACTTCAACCTGTTAAGACACGCCTTCACTTTTTTTGTAGTTCTGCCAGGCGACACTAATAGTGCTAAAACTGCCTACCCTAGCTTTAAAAAAGACAGACATCTTATTTAGAGACACCAAAAGATACTGGAATTATACATTTCAGGACACACCAATAAATTACTTGAAAAATACTTTTCCCAGATTTCCAGAAACTACCAGATGTGTGTACTGTAAGTACAGTAGCCTAGTGGATAGCTTACCGATTGTAAGTTGTTATAGTATGGTACTTTATCCCAAGTGGCAATGAACAGCCATGATGCAGTGAAGTTCAGATTAGGAAAATACTGGTTTATGTTGTTTGTGGCTGCTAGTAAGATTCTACCACTGGTGACCTGACGATAGGTGATTGTTCCACCGACAGTGTTGTCCATGTCTGTCCAAAGTGGAGCAATGATGTCTCTGTTGAGTTGTGACTGTAAATTACTGGGTTTCGGCTGTGAAAGAGGCCCATCAAATGTCAAATCCCCATTGTTATTAACCTGAAACAGAGGTAAAACAATATTATAAAAGAGCTTTAGCAGTACAAAATACGGCCTAAAACTCTTAAAAAGCCAAGTTTGTGGCTTTTTAAGAGTATGAAAATTATGTACGATCTGTTTTATTTCACAGCAACTCTGTTTGGGACATGCAGTGTAAAATGCGGTTAAATACTTACAAACAAATATATAGACTAACAACACAAAAATAATAAAATGTAAAAATAAAAAATTATGGGAATGGGAAGGATTCAATGATTGATCTTGAAAAATGTAGTCAACATGCAATTTGTGTAAAAGTTAATTTTTTTTTATTTTTTTGTTATAAGTATTGTTGCTGAGATAATGAACTGTGAAAAATTAAATATAAATTTAATGTATGTATATATACTTAGAGAATACATTATAAAAAATGTTCACATCAATCTGAAGAAAAGTATTGCAGAAAATTCCCAAATCCAAGTTTGCAAAGCTTGTTGCATCACACCTAATGCAGCCCGATCTCATGAGAAGTTGTACATATTTTATGTAAAATGTGGTTCTACAAAACGTAATTTTACTTTGGCACTAAATGTACAATACTGACATATTTACAGCATCTAAACGTACAATATATTAACAACACCTAAAACGTAAATTATTTCTGTATGAACAACATTACAGACTTACAAATTAATCCTTATGAATACTGCAATCATTGTATTCGGTCCTCATACCAATGGCATTATGTTTTCAACTGAATTTATTATACGAAGTTTATTCATTTACTTAATATGAAATTATAAAATTTCATTCTGTTGTGTGATTTCTGCAGCTAACTCGTTTTGAAGATTACACAATGTTAAACAAGACTACACTTTAAACCCTTAAATTGAATAATATTCTGCGATTGTTTAACCATTACTTATCATGTAATAATTACATGTTCTGGGAAACTGCTTTGTTTATCTGCCGTACTGGGAGGATCACGCTGCCTTTCCGCTATTGAGTTTAGGGCAGTATTTAGATTTTCTGTCGTGATTGTGAAAAATGTCATCATTGCATGCCATTCAAGCTGCATCAAGTATTGCAATAGTAACTCAGATCGTCTTTCTGAGAGAAACTGGACAATGCAAAAAGTGTTTTCGCTTTTTCTACATGTAAAAACACCAAGGGAAGCAGGTCGTGAAGATGGCGGGAATATGCCGGATAGCAAATCTATTAATAATGTCACTGATTAAACCCACTGCCTATCGCTCTTTTGAAAGTTTTGATTTTGTTTGGTTTAATAACAATACCTTTGTGAGCATGACTCTCACTTGGCTTGTGAATTATCCAGGCACGGCTTGTCTGTAAGGGCAGGTGGGGCAGAGCCCCACCAAAATATTCACCCAAAACATAGACCTCTATATAAACTGAATAAATAATAAACTGTAAATGTGTTCAGCATTCTGCAGCAAATATTGTTTCGAATTTTCTTGACAATTTTAAGTCATAAAGTGCGCAAGATATATTACAATTCATTGCAAGCTTCGGCAGGCCAATGATACTAATGCCTAGTTCACACTACAGGATTTTATACCCGATTTGCAAGTTAACGAGCTCGCCGACAGGTCGGGCTGTGATCGAGGGAAAATCAATGCTTTGCAATCTTTATGTGTGAACTACTCAACGATGCATCAAAGAGGCTCGCTAACACGTCGCCGACGCCAAACAAATATCTAGCATGCTAAATATCTGGACCGGTCGGCCGACTCGACATCACGTGGTGTCAGGGGTCGTGATGAGCTACAGCCAATGAGAGAGCAAGCATGGGTTGAGGTCAGCGGAAGAAAAACCGCGGAAGAAAAAACATTTCCCTGCATATTTCGGTCTATTACGACGTTTTATATCTTTTTATTATATTCGCTATAAAATGAGTACACTAAAAAATGCTGGGTTGTTTCAACACAACTTTGGGTCAAATATGGACTAACCCAAATTTTGGGTTAAAACTTTAATGAAAAAATGTAACCCAACAGTTGGGTTAGTTCATATTTGACCCAACATTGGGTTGAAACAACCCAGCATTTTTTAGAGTGTAGGTTTAGGTTTGGGGGTAGGTTAAGGGGTCTAAAAATCTAAATCGTTTATCGATAAAATGATAAAAATGCATTAATACAAATATCTTAATGCTATTAAAGATTCAAATATTTGTAAGTTTTTTAGCTTTAAATACGTAGCAATTTTACGTTTTAAATGTAATACGTATCTGCATCAATCAAAACATACAAAAATTTACAATAATGTTTTTTTCCTTGTATTCCTTGTAGACGTTACGTACCTACTGTACTGTACGTATAAACAATGAGACCAGGCTGCCTAAAAACACTTGGGGCTGTAACCGCTGACAAAGGTGATTCAACTAAATGCTGAGTTAGTGATTTGAATACTTATATCAGTGTTATATTTCAGTTTGTTCTTGTTAATAAATTTAAAAGCTATAATTATTTAGGTTTTTGCTTTTTCGTTATGGTGAATGGAGTGAATTCTGAATACTTTGAATGCACTGTACATAAACACAAACACACACACAGTACATACACAGAATTAATGAAGACAAGTCTCTTACATAAGTCTTTCGATAAACACGTCCAAAATATACGAAGGGCTTTTCCAGTAATATTACTGGAGAGCTTCCATCATCTTCAGAGGGATTCTTTATGTCTTGATTTCCAAATGGGTAGAAAAGGTCTGAAAATATAAAATAGAGGGGAAAAAACTACAGTGATCTAAAACATAATGTATTGATTATGTAACAAATGTTGTTACATGTCACTTTGTTTGACAGCATATCCATAGACCTGATGCATACTGCACTCAAAAATGGCGTGAACTGGCTGAAATTTAAAATGTACAATTTCAGTCTGTTAAGTCATACCTTAGGTATTCAGGGACTACAGATGCAAATTAGCTATCTAGCTAACTCTGGCACAACATTTGTGTTGTCCATGGTACCTGTTAACCCTTGTGTGGTGTTCATATTTTTGTTATTCAGCCAGTGTTCGTGGGTCTAGTGAACCCGCTGCATTTTTTGTTTTTTAATTCAACAAATTAAAAATGTTATGTTAAAATACTCAAGTTATTACAAGCAATATAAACAGCACATATGGTTAATATTGTCAGGGTCTGGCGTCTGGTGTTCTCCCTCTCTCCTCCAGAGGGCGCCATCTCCCGGACTCCCATTCCCCAAACCCCCTACACCTGTTCACCCATTACACCAATTCCCCAAACTCCACACACCTGTTCAGTCACCCACTCATCACACTCACCCTCAGCTGTGCCCCGTTGTCACTGACTATATCTTCTCCTCTCACTCACCACTCGGCCTGGCTGTATTGTGTGTATGTAATGGTGTTCGTCGTCCCTAGACCTGTTTTTGTTTTGCCTTGTCGGCCTTTCTGTTGGGAATAAAATAAGTTTTCACCTGCATTTGGACCCAGACCCTATTTTTCCACGGTGCCCCTGACCGCGGCGTGACAAATATTTGCCATTTACCTTTGTTAAATCACATTTATGAATTAAAGTGCTGCAACCTGGTGCAGGAATGGCAGGGGCAGAAACACAAAACTCACACTTACATTCAGACTCTTACAGACTCTCTCTCTCACACACACACACGCACGCACACACACACACAC